CCGACAAATACTGTAGCTAGCAATTTTATATTGTAATATTATAAGTGTAAAAATTCATCGTTTAATTTAATTTAGTAAATATACCATTTTTTGCTAGTCAGAATCCAAATTAAGGCCATCACGTGAGAGCCTTTTCAATCTGATTCTTCTCGAAGATTTCTTCCTGATGTCTCAGGGGGGTTTTCTTTCCCACCTTTACCTCTGGAATTGCTCACTAAGGGATCGATTTAAACTTGAATTTAAATGTAAACTTCAAAGACATGACTCTTCAAATGATCTTCAAAGTTGTGCACTGCTGAATTTGAAGGTGACTCTTTAATCAGCAATGTGCGAGGAATAGAGTACCTCAGGAAAATAATAAAATAAGTGTGTAAATATGTGTGTGTTTGTGTGGGAGAGAGGGGGAGTTAGATAGAGAGAGAGAGAGGAGTTAGAGAGAGAGAGAGGGGGGGGGTAGATAGAGAGAGAGAGAGAGAGGAGAGAGGGGAGTTAGAGAGAGAAAAAAAGGGGGGGGTTAGGTAGACAGAGAGAGAGAGAGAGAGAGAGGAGTTAGAGAGAGAGAGAGTGAGAGAGAGGGGGGGTTAGATAGAGAGAGAGAGAGAGAAAGGAGTTAGATAGATGTAGAGAGAGAGAGAGAGAGAGAGAGAGAGAGAGAGGAGTTAGAGAGAGAGAGAGGGAGTTAGAGAGAGAGAGGAGTTAGAGAGAGAGAGGGGGGGGAGTTAGATAGATATATATATATATAGAGAGAGAGAGAGAGAGAGAGAGAGAGAGAGAGAGGGAGAGAGAGAGAGAGAGAGAGAGAGAGAGAGAGAGAGAGAGAGAGAGAGAGAGAGAGAGAGAGAGAGAGGATGGTTACCAAAGTGAAAGTGAAAGCACAGAATGATTTCCTACTTTGTGTAACAGTTATACTGAGCTCAGACTTGTTAAGTACCATTTTGACCAGTTTTGCTCGAGCAGGGAGAACAATCTCTTTGATCTTTGATTAAGAAGACATGTTTTAGGTTAGACTGGGTATCAGCCTTGTGATCCATTACACCATGCTGGATTTATTCAAATTGTGTTGATTTACTTTAGCCTGTGAGGAAGATCAGCTTCAGAGGAAGAACATCGAACAAAATGGGTGGAAAGAAATCAACACCAAAGCCTCCAGAAGGTCAGATCACTTTGCTGGAATCATTCAAGAGCTGTTATACAGGATGTCCCAAAAGTCTCCATAATTAACACTTTTAAGCAAAATGTAATTTTATCTGCAAAACATCCTCTACATGATCGATTTTTTTGTAAACACACACAGAATCGTCTCTCCCGCTCGTGACGAGCTTGTCCTAACACATCTGGAGTTAATCGCATACCCAGACGCAACCTTCCTGATCCAGGCACGAGAATGGTTTCAATATGTTCTTCTTTTGTCAAATGTGATCTTAAAGTCTGTCTAAAGGAAGAAGAAACAACCGATAACTAAGTTTTTAAAATTCTGGAAGACATTTTTCTAAACTAGTGTTCATTTCCCCATAAGTATGGAGACATTTGAGACACCCTGGTTTACAGTATATTTGTTTGAAGTCTTGCTAAAACATAACTCTAGGAGTTGCATAGCAATGCCTCGATATATCTGTATCACCATCAGTTTAGCACTTCAGAAATTCCAGATGTGGGCGAATCCTACCTCTAGATCACCAAAGAAAAAACACTCGTAAAGAACTTCAGGGCTGAAGGAAAAGAAGGGATTTTTAATTTATAAATGACAGCAATGAAAGTAAATAATAACTCCTTAGAGTTCTTCACTAGAGTTCATACATGTTCTTAACCAGACCAAGGTTTTGTGGACCTTTTTGTTCATCTTTTTATGTGATACAAGCTAGAAGTCTAAACCACCGCGACCGTGACCAGGTCATTAATAATGAGTGGATGAACATGATCTTTCTCTGTTCCGTGAACTTCATACTTGATGTTTTTGGGAGATGGGAGGAAACCCATTGAGACACAGGGAGAATGTGTGAGGTTCTGGATGATCTTTTTATTTACAGACTTTGGTAAACCAGACTTTGGTGAACCATGGAGAAATGTGGACTGGAAGTAAGTAATTGATTTCTTTGAGTGCTTTGTTTAGTTTAAATCTGACTTTATATTTTATGACTCTACACAAAATAGGCCGGAATTGTGGAGGTAAAGTGGAGGGCAAATCTGTATAGTTACAGAAAAAAAAGTTGTGATTGCATACAGTACATAATACTTATTGGTGTAAACCACTAATTTATTTAAGGTCAGAAGTTACATAAATGGTTTAATGGAGTTGACCTGTGTCCATGTCATGTGATCTCAATATAAATATGTTCCTCAGAGGCCCAGAGTTTATTATAGAACAAACCATCATGAAGACCAAAAAAAAAAATATATCAATGATAAAGTTCTGGAGAAGTATCGCAAATTTCATCCCATGGAGCAACATTAAATCCACTATTAAAAATTTAAAGGATATGGCACCATCACGACACGTCCCCCCAAACTCAGTGACCGGACAAAGAGGGGATTAGTCAAAGAAGAAACGAAGACACAATACTCAAGAAAGACTCAAGGCTTAGTTTGGTGAACTGGACACTACACAAAGCTGGGTTTTTATGGATGTGTAGTGATAAGAAAGCCGTTACTGAAAAAAAAAAACAATATGAAAAGTTGGAGGCAATGTGGGAAAATGATCTCTGGTCTGATGAGACCAAAACAATTTGTCCTGATGAAAAGTGCTATGTTTGGTAGAAATCCAACTCTGCTCGGCGAGGGCGAGTGTGAGGGCGAGGGCGAGGGTAACGCTGAGAAACCGGCATAGGGAACCGCCTCTTCCCAGCTCTTCCGGGAATCCCGACACGTCCGAGAGGACGTCGCTGCGCCAGCCCCGCCCCTCATCCAGCCACACACACACACACACACACACACCACCACCACAAATTTATTTATTTATTTATTTATTTGTTTGTTGGTTTGTTTGTTTGTTTGTGCTGTTTAAGTGTTCTCTTTATTTTTTTGAGCAGAGTATAAACATATATACATATTCATAGTGTTCAACAAGTTCATAGTGTTAATGTCTTCATTATTAACTGTAGGAGATAGAAGAAAATCTAAAATAAAATAATGAGCTACAAACATTTCACTGTTCAGTTTTTTTTTTTTGTATTTCAGTTTAAACTGTGAACTTATTTGTCCTAAACAGCGCAAAGGAACTCTTGAAATCTGAGTTACGTGGACTTCAGCTTAACCATCCAGGAATCAGCCAACTCAGAATCCTGCTTCAAGGACCTGTTGGGGCTGGGAAATCCTGCTTTATAAACTCCTTGGCGAGCGTATTCAAAGGAAGAATTGTAGTCAAGGCAGTGGAAGAGACATCTGCTGGAAAGAGCTGCACAAAAACAGTAAGAGCTGATACACTGGTGTGCCCAAGATATTATTATTCTCATTACATTTCTGTAATAACGAGGAGAATACGACAACAAATAAATCAGTCTCAAATATAATGTCATACCACCATAATACATCAACATGATTTAACTATACTACTATACTGAGTGTATAGTACAGAGTGTCCAAAAAATCAGGAACTTAATTATGTACAGATGATCTACGCATTTTCTTAACCACTGTGTCATATTTTTACGGATTTTGCTCATATTTACATCGACATGTTTGATCAAGACCTTATTATCGTTCCTGACTTTTCAGACACCAGTCTCTTATCTAAAAGAACAAATCCGTTTTCATCCATTTTGTTAACACAATTCCAAAAAGAAATATTTGACCCTTAGTTATATCTCAGAGTACAGACTTCAGTCTTTCATTACACTTTTCTTTTCTCTTCACAGTACAAAACTTATAAAATCACTGATGGAAATTCTGTGACTTTGCCATTTGTCCTCAATGATGTAATGGGTCTGGAAGAACGTGAGGAAGATGGAATTCAGCCTGAAGACATCATTAAAGCACTGCAAGGCCATGTAAAAGAAGGCTATAAGGTAGAAAAAAGAACCTATATGTTTGAATTCAGTTAATCTTTAATCTGCACTTTACAGACCAGAAAACACACAATGATGTAGAATTTTAAAGCGTTGATGTTTGTTCGATGATTCAGCATATCCTTTCATTTTTCTTTTCTTTGTCCTCAGTTTAATCCTGTTTCTCCACTGACTGACTCGGACCCAGACTTCATAACGGAACCCAGGCCAGATGACAAAGTTCACTGTTTGGTGAGCATTGTGCCTGCAGATAGCATCTCCCACATGGCAGAAGATGTTATTCAGAAGATGATAACTGTCAGGAAGAAAGCCAACGGTTTGGGTGAGTTAGTAAATAATGTAATATAATACATAATAATCTCACAATTATTACATTATTATATTGCTTATTTTCTATTTATTGACTTCCATTTAACTTTTAGTATATATTCATTCATTTATATTTAAAGGCTTTTATGACAACATGTGTTTTACACAGACTTTCTCCATGAAGTGTTTATTAAGATTAATATGTAATTTTCTCCTTCAATCACTTTTTTTGCCTCCAGCACTAGGTGATGTTTTTAAACTGTCTGCTCATGTGTTTTGTTGAGACTAATGTGGATGTTTGTAGGATTACAACCGTAACCAAAAGATAAACTGATTAGATGTTGGAATTCATTCAAACAGGGTCAAGATCACAGCAAGGTCAAATGTCTACAATATCTCCTTACTGTTTGATGTATATTTGAGGCATAAAATGTAATGTAGTAGCATGAAAGGCTAGACTAGTTGGCGTCGGAGACGTCTGTGTCCACACCATTGGCATTGAGTTCTTATAGTTTCTCTATAGTTTAAAAAAATGATTTTGTAAATCCACAAGTTTATTAACATGCACAAAATAACAGAACAATTCCTTCACTTCCATGAACTATATTTTACATTTACGCACTTATCCAGCGCAACTGATATTTACCATATATATACATCTGAGCAGTTGAGTGTGGTACAGTGGTAGCTTGGCAGTGATGGGGCTTGAACTCCTGACCCTCTGATCAGTAACCCAGATCCTTTAACCACTGAGGCACCACCACCCTTTATTTATTGTTTTGATTATCTGTGTATGCCAGGCATCCCTCATGTGGTTCTGATGACGAAGATAGATTGTCTTAGTCCACAGCTTAAGAAGGATCTAAGCCAGGTTTACACAAGCAGGAAAATCAAAGAAAAGGTTTGTTGAACCGTCGATATCCATCTTACACAGATATTGTCCTCTTTTGTGTAAATTTTTTCTAAAAGTTTATGCAAATTTGTTTCTGTTTCCTGATTTCTTGTGCAATTTTCAATGAATTTAAAAAAAACAAATAAATATTATCATTAAGTATTTTTCCATGACTATTTGCATTTTCTTCATGTATAGATGCAGATTTGCAGCCAAAGACTTGGTCCAGATATGAAATGCATCCTCCCAGTGAGCAACTATTATGAGGAGAGAGATATAAATGAGAAAAAAGACGTGCTTATTCTGATGGCATTAAAGGCAATTGCAGAAATTGTTAAAGATTATTATAACTTATAACTTTTTATTATTAGAACTAATGTCACAATAATCTGTTTATTCCAGACCCATAGTGGTGTTGCAGGTTTTTGTTTTATGGCACTTACTCCTTATTCTGTTTATTCTGCACACTCAATATTCAGCAGTGTATAAAATAGCACTTGATCCAGCACATGCAAATATTTTGTGCTTTTATATATATGTGTGTGTGTGTGTATGTATGTGTATGTATAAAATTGTAATGTGTGCATGTGATGTTCAAGAATTTATAGCTCATTTAATTAGTAAATTAATGCTACTCTTCTGCTATGCTGCAGCTCACTTCTTCATTATTTTATCTATGTATAAATTCCGAAGTAGAGAAAAGCAGTGTGTCTGATCAAGGTATTGCCTCCTATTGTGTTCTGTGTGATCAACACTTTTTACTGGATTTAGAGAGACAATATCAGTAATGAATTAATCAATAGCATCATTTTTGACTTTGATGATCATTCCATGTTTTTTTTTATTTATTGTATTTGCTATCAAAAACATATATTTTTCCAGTGTAGTATTTTGTGGTTACATGTTAGTGGTTAGCACGTTCGCGTCACACCGCCACAGTCTGGGGTTCGATTCCCACCGGGGCCATGTGTGTGCGGAGTTTGCATGTTCTCCCACGTGCTGCGGGGGTTTCCTCCGGGTACTCCGGTTTCCTCCCCCAGTCCAAGGACATGCATGCTAGGTTGATTGGCGTGTCCAAATTGTCCATAGTGTATGAATGGGTGTGTGAGTGTGTATGTGATTGTGCCCTGCGATCGACTGGCGCCCTGTCCAGGGTGTACCCCACCTCATGCCCGATGCTTCCTGGGATAGGCTCTGGGTTCCCCGCAACCCTGATGTAGGAATAAGCGGTTGAAGATGGATGGATGTTACATGTAACACCTTGTTCAGTTTAGTAATCTTATTATGTAATTTTGATATTTTGTCTTTATTCTTCAGTGAATGGGAATTATTGCATTAATAAACATACTATTTAAACAACTATAACAGATGTGTGTGTTTTGTAGTATTATACCACCACCACCAATATGTATTCATTAAAATCTATTGTAAAAGTCACTGTAGTTTAAAAATTATACTAAAGGTGCCATTACTGTAAACAACAATATAGTCAGAATGTTCTAAATTCTATAATTATATGGAATGAACTTCCAACCTCAATCTGGACTACAGGATCCATCACTATCTTCCGTGAACTAACCCCTGATTTGATAGATTCACACATATTTGGTTCCTGATACCTCCAAGTCCTCCAGCAGTTCATTTGTTGTCTTAGGGTTTGGTTAAATTTTGGACCAAAGTTTGTTCATCCCTGTGATGTGTGCCTCTTTCCTGAATGACACAAGTGTCTGTATGGTCCCAAGATTTTTATATTTTCATACAGATGTTTGTACAGATGTTCGTTGTACCTGTAGTTTTTCTCCTAACGATGAACCAGACTTATGGTGGTTCACGATTTTTTTTTCTTAGCCGAGTTGCTTGGATTTTGACCCACTGGAATTGTGAAATAGTGAATTAGAGCTTCTAATCGATTGATTTTAAAAGAATTCTGTTGTGAACATATTGTATTACCTAACTGATTTGCCAGAAATAAATTAGATAACATAAAATGTATCAAATTGAGATTTGCATCTTAGAACTTGTATACAGCCATTCTCAGTGACCTTGATAACCTTTTGCAGAACAAATCTAATATGTAATCAAATGTAATATTAGATAGAACTGAATCAAACTAAATAGTGTCTACTTGAAAGAAATTTTGTATATATCTTTATAAAATATACTGAATTTCTATATCTAAGAACTAAACTATACCTGAGGTTTTGCAGTTCTCTGCATCCATACAAGAGCATTACTAAACCACTGTGCAAACTGCAGACTTGTGGTACAGGAAATCCCCTGAATTTCCTGCAAAGTAAACAGAAAGTGACAGGATGCTGATAACGGTTAAAAGTAACACTCAGATTCAATCTACAGTAACATTGTGCTAGTGTTCTAGTAGAATATGGTGATGTTGAGGCATGTATATGTAGTGTTTAATTCTACACTATATGTGTAGAGATTGGGCTGTCATAGGAGTAACCCTAGGATGTGCTGGTGGACACCACTGGTGAGGGCAGCCATCACTTCCAGAGGCCCCAAATATGTTTTGACAAATGTTTTTTTGCTTTGGGGGGAAGTAAAAAAAATGTTTTTTTGGAAACCCCCCCAGAAAAACCCGGACACCACTGCAAAATGGCCGACACCCTATATGGTGCACTACATAGGAGCTAGGGAGGAGGATGGGGAGCTAGGGAGGAAGATGGGGAGCTAGTGAGCGGCTTCAGACAGTGCTGATTCTTTTTTTTAGTTTCAGGTTCGATTTGCAGTCAACGCTACAGTGAGAGATCAGTGGGCGGGGCCAGCGTCTGTCAGGCAAAGAACCCAGATGTAATGCAGGAAGGAAGAGCCTGACGTTGTGAAAGTAGAGAAATTAAAAGGTCCATACCGCTATAAACTGTGAGTATAGATAATTAACGGACCTTAAGAAGTTTTAAAACGTCTCGAAATGGCTACTACGTGGTTTATTTTACACTGTTTCCTCCTCAGAGGACATGTCGAGAGATTTTATTTCGGTTAAAGCAGTGGATTCGGAGGTGAAGTCTGAGCAGCAGGATGTATAAGTGTAATAAGCCTGTTTACAGTGTGCTGTGTTTAAACACATGATCATGGTTGTCCTGCACGGTGATGTAGGCCTAAAGAGAAGAAAATGGTCGTGCATGAGATGTTATTAGGCGTGTCTGGGGGAAATGAGAAGAGAGAGACAGTGTTGTTGTTTGTGTTACAGTGAATTCAGATATCTATCGGGGCCTTGGGACCAGTTTTCTTTATCATGAGACAGAGTAGAAATACACAATTTTGTTAAACCTGGTGTACTGATGTTTCATCCTACCAGGGCTTACTGCGCATGCGCACCGTCAGTTCCAGGGCTTGTAATTGTAAAACCATCCTACCTGTTTATTTTATATTGGTAGGACCACCTCTCCATTGCTCTATCAACGTCTTGTTGTTATTGTTGTTGTTGTTGTTTTTAACTCAAAATGCAGTAATGAATTACACTGTTATGTTTATACACTGAGTTATGTTTCTTAATACAGTTCACTGTTCACGTATCAGCATGTGCATAATATAGTCTTAAATTATATTTTAACTATACTGCTACATTAAAAAAAAATCACTATTGTTTTTGATTCTTTAATGAAAATTCACCCTTTATTTAATTGTGTTTTTTTCTTCACTTTATTCTTTATCAGGATTTTCCAACCACGATTCAGTTAAATTAATAAAAATATGGGAGGACAGACGTCCACACCAGATGTACCTCCACCAGGTAATTCCCATGACCATCCAAGGTCAAGATCCAAAAATTCATTGCAGTTGATCTTAAAGGAGTTGTGAGAACGTTCATCAGTGTTTCCAGGTGTCTGCATGGTTTGTGTTACGCACATGGAACAAGGAATTGCAATTACTTGCGTTTAGACATTAGACTTAAGCTGCGGTTTATTAAAAGCTCTCTTGCTACTCTCCTAACCTAGCGAAGCTCAAGAGATCATAATTCACAACAGGAGATTCTTACTAGTCTCAGGCTGGGGGCCTTGCAGTTGAAGTTTTTCCTCATGGATTCATTAGACTTGAGTCCATATGTTTTGGACACTTATGTAAAGAGATTTGCACAGTTGTCTATTGATCACCACTTGGTAGTGAGCTCAACTGCTCACTGGCCAAACTTAACAAATGTAACTCATACCTACAAAATAGGCTGTGTAGAGATCAGGTAGTCATAAGAATAACCCTAGGATGTGCTGGTGGACACCTGTGGTGAGGTAAGCCTTGAAGTTGATGGAGGAGACCTTATGAGTTAAGTACAATGTATGCGTCACTTTTATGCGTGCTTCTATTTACCAAGGGTGCCAATATTACTGGAGGGTTCTGTACATCCATATCCTCACACACATGTTTTGGATGTCTCTGTCTTTCAGAATTTGCCGGTCCATGGAGGGAGATGTCTTGGGGGTAAGTTTTCTAACTTTTTATTTTATTTTAAATAAATGTTTTTTTCCCCTATTACTCATGTGAAGATATTAAAACATCAGCAAAGCATGGAACCTTCTCTGAAACACTATGAAATCCATTATAACAAAGTAAAAAAAAAAAAATACAGAGCAAACCAGAGACGATCAAGATTAGCTTCTTTTGCAACTAACCTTTATTTTTTTTTTATATATATATATATATATATATACAGTGGTGTGAAAAAGTGTTTGCCCCCTTCCTCATTTCCTGTTCCTTTGCATGTTTGTCACACTTAAGTGTTTCGGAACATCAAACCAATTTAAACAATAGTCAAGGACAACACAAGTAAACACAAAATGCAATTTGTAAATGAAGGTGTTTATTATTAAAGGTGAAAAAAAATCCAAACCATCATGGCCCTGTGTGAAAAAGTGGGGGGAAA